TCCCTCATGGAAGCCACAAAGTGTAGTTAAAATGTAGCATCTTCCTCATTGGGCTGTGCAAACCGCTCCTCTGAAGAATTCATTTTACAGGGTAGGGCAGGAGGTACTGAGGATGAGAGTATGGAAACGTGCGAACCCACACCCAGCCCAACCTCAACCTCAACCTCAAGGTCAAGGTCAAGGTCGTGGTCGTGTTACAACTGACGGTCAGTCAGTCTGTCTGTCTTGGTGTCGAGCCCCAGCTGAGGCCCATGAAAAGATATTTCTTTCGAATGAAAGTTACTGTCCTGTCCATGTGGGGCGCCCTCTCTGACGAGAGGTCGGGTCTGTCATTTGTCAGTCAGTCTTTTTAATATGTCCACTGTCTGTATTTACATAGATTTATAATACACACTTATTTCTTACTTTATGTACAATATATACAAGCCTCAGGCAGTCCAGGCTCAGTACAGCAGATCACGCCCTGTTTCCAGTATTATTCGCTACCACGGCAGTCCAGTCACTTGAACGGTCGTATGCCTGACCGCCGCCAAGTTTAAGCCTCTTATACTTTCTGTGGCGGGCTAGGCCTTGTCCGATGTTGCTAACAGTCTCTTGATTTTGTAAGACTTCTGCTTGTTGCCTGCATATTTTTTTTGTAAACTCATATACGTACGGGATTTCGAATGCCATGTGCAAATCGCGGACCGGTGTGCGCCTCGGAAAATTGCCAATGGTGCGGAGAACATTGTTTTGCAAGCGCTGAAATTTCACTAGATGGGTGTCTGCCGCAAACTCCCAGGCGGGACTAGCATAAGTCATTACGGATCTAATGAGAGCTTTATGGAGGATAATTTTAATGTTAACGCTCAATCGCTGACTTTTGAATAGGGAATATACTCTAATGAATCTTCTGAAGGCCTTGGCTTCGATCATTTCTGTGTGCAATCTCTATGAAACTCTTTTATCGAAGATTACACCTAGATATTTTGCACTATTTACAAATGGAATATTTCGTCCATTTAGAGTAAGAGAAGACTCGGGCGGTCGCCGACCATGAGAGAAGTAGACCCCTGAGTCTTATCTTCATTAAGTTTTATATTTCAGCGCTCACACCAGGTCTCCATTGAGCTGAGACCACGCTGGAGTTTTCTAACAATAAAACCCACCTTGCGATCTGTCGCATATAGACAGGTGTCGTCCGCAAAGAGGGCCAAGTGTACACCATAAGTTTGGGGGGCATCATTAATATACAACTTGAAAAGAGTAGGGGAAAGGACCGAATCTTGTGGCAACCCTGCTTGCATTTCCCTTGGCGCTGACATTTCGCCTTCAACCGAGACCCTGAATTTATGTTTAGATAGAAAGGACCCAATAAGTTTGGTCAAACTCTTCGAGAATTCCAATTTCGATAACTTATACAGCAAGCCCGAATGCCACGCGGTATCAACGGCTTTTTCGATGTCCACGAACACCGCAGCCGTAGACATTTTATTCTTGAAATTAAGGGTCACGTGGTCCGCCAGCCTCATACATTGNAAATCTGAAAATTTTTCAATGGGTTCCGAAAGGTTGCTAATTTTAACGTGATCCAGTATGTGAAATACTATTGGTAGGTGATCTGAATCCAAAATATCAGAGACGATGACCTCTGACACTCTGATATTTTTGTGAACCACAATGTCTAACACGTCACCATTTCCCGCAGGGGAATAATGAGTGGGGCACTGTGGTGCTGAGAATTCGAAATCGCCCATATCAAATAAATCCATGAGTTTCAAACCTGAGGGGTTTGAAACTCTGCTATTCCAAAATGGGTTCTTAGCATTCAAATCACCTGCCAAAATAGACTTTCGTCTGAAGCTTAAGAGCTAGTGATGTCAGCATCACTCCAGGCTTTGCCTGGAGATTTATAAACACTTCGCTACTACCAATTGGTATGCAGACCCCTGTCGCTTCTACTGAAACAAGGGGTGGTAGGTCTAAATGTTTATGGGGAATGCCTTTTCTTACTGCAATGGCAGTTCCGCCTCTTCTGCCCGAGTGGCGGTCGATTCTATACAAGTGGTAATTTGGAATAAAGTACCTCTCATGAGGTTTCAGATGTGTCTCTGAAAACAGTGCCACATCTACGTGTAGGTCTTGCAGCTGTTTACTGATCTCATAGCGCTGCCTCCCAATGCCATTCTCATTAAATGCTATGACTTTGAGGGGCATATGAACTCTAGTAGCCATTCTGTTTCATAAGGTTTAGAACATTTGGTAATGGCCATTATTTTGTCCTCCTCGGACACTGCACCACTGACCTCTGTCATAATCTGCTCTACTACAGTCACTACTCTCAACATATTGTCGAGAGACTGACCGTTTACATTAGTAGCCTGAACTGACTTACCTGTTTCTTTCTGTAGTGCAGGGGCCGGTACAATCTGCTTCTTTGTTGTGGCTGGAGCCACTGGAATATGGCGTTCCTGAGGGCGCTGATGCTGCTCTGCCGCACTGCCTCGGAGTGCCGCCGCGAAGGAGACACCTGGAGTTACGGTGGCTGATGAGAACACCCTCCTTGTAGTTTTGGACGTTCTCTGAGCCTTCCTTCTCTGTTGTTCCTCTTTGGCATGTTTGCAACCCCAATAATTGGCGGGATGTGGCTTTTCTCCCTCTGCCAACCGGCAGTTGCAGCATACTGGGGTGGAGGCAGAGTTCTCCTTCTCTCGGCACTCCTTGTGTAAGTGGCCACCTCCGCACCACAAACAACGTGGGGGCTGTTTGCAGTTAGCCCAAACGTGGCCGAACTGCTGGCAGTTGTAGCACTGTGTGAGCCCAATTTGTGCTTTGTACGCCTCTACCTTGATGGCAATGTGGCAGAGGTTGGTCAGTCAGAAGATTTCTTGGGACTTGTCCGTTCTAGGAAGTGTGACAAGGAACAAGGGAAGGTAAATCGTATTTGTTCCTTCTGGAGGAGTCCGACGACTGGTCGTCATTTGTTTGACGCTAATGACGTCAAACCCCAGACTCATCAGACCGTCAGAAATATCTTTCGCTGGAGTATTTTGTGGAAGGTGATGGATAACAGCTTTGATGGGTTTCTCAGACTTGGGATATTATGTAAAGTACGACAGATTATTACTTTCTAGGAAAGTTTTGATGGCTGAGAAGTCTGCCATTTTCTTCGTGACAATTCTTGTCCCACTCCTGGTGTTGCGGAACTCAAAATTGCCCGTGACTAGTTCTTTGACCTTCCTCTGCAACTTCAACAGGTTTGTCGTGGAGGTTAGTACAATTGGAGGCGGCCTACCTGGCTTGTCCGATGGCTGCTGCTCTCCCGACTTGTTGGTTGGCTCTTCCACGTCCATCCCTGACGTCCTCAGGGGCGCAAAGTTCTTTGTTTCTACTTTATTCTTGGATTTTATTCTAGGATCCCTGGGGCTAGGTGATGGCTTCGGTTTTTTAGTTTGTTCTCCTGAGGAGGTTCGCTTTCGTCTCCTTTGCTCGCGAAATTCCTCGGCTGAATCTTTTTCTTCCAGCAGGAGAGAGACTCGCATCTCCCTGTGGATGGCAGCATAGAGGCACAGCATGGCTGTAAAGAGCGCCTTGCCATCGAGGTGCTTACACAATACTGTCCTCTCGGCCTTGGATTTTGATATAAGTTTATTCCATACTGTGCCGTTTCCTTTTATTGAGGGCGATGTATGGATAAGCTGCCCTATAGTTTGTAATCCTTTCCCCAGTAAGTCGATATCTTTCTGGCAGTCATGATTACTGTTTCTTAAGTTTACGTGGTTCCTGTCAAAGGAAGCCACGATTGCATTCCACCGCGTTTCACAAGATGTCGGCTCGGTCATTTCGTCCATTGCAGATGGGACGGCCACCGCCTCCGATGCACTAGCCACGCACTATGCACTGGTGGCAGAATAGTCAACTAGGTGGCTGCAGACGAACACACTCAAGATTATGGTCACCTGAGACCGCTCAAAAACTCCTTCCGTAAGAGTCTCTCGAACTAATCTCACTCCTGCCAAACTTCCACCATCTGGGCAAACGACCGAGTCCAGATGAATCGTCAAACAGACAGTCTCTCTGATCTCATAACTTCGATGGCTGGATCAACTACGTACACTCACACTGCAAACCAATGATGAACAGCCCAATCTGCATATCACGCAGCTATTTAAACACTTGAGACCAAGCTAACTCAGTGCGAGTTAAGAAAATATATATTAAAAACTATGATAAAACACGCACATGCGTGGAACTAGGAAAGAAAAGGAGGTATAAATCTTTGCTACAAACCTAGCTAACAAAAACAAGTACATGAGCAGCAATGCATAGAAATGGAAACAATTTTGTGAAGACATGTAGTATCTATCGATAGCGCCATCTGTGAACTAAAACCTCATGGAAAGAAGATGAAGTGTAGTTAAAATGTAGCATCTTAGTTTTTTATTATCTCCCTTACTGGACTGTGGAAACCACTCCTCTGAAGAATTCATTTTATAGGGTAGGGCAGGAGGTACTGGGGAAGAGATTATGAATGTGTGGAAACCTTCCCATCCCAATCTTAACATCACGTCATAGCTCAAGTGGTTAGTCGCTGGCGGCCCAGGTTCGATTCCATGTCTGAAACTTTTAAAAAATTTCGGATCCTTATCCATCTAGGAAAATAGCAGGATGTCATTTCCACTTTTATTTGGGTCACTACAACTGCTTCCTTCCACACGCATTCCAATTCATTATTCACAAATCATACTACCATCTGATGCCTGAGATACTGTCAGCATCATTAAATAAACCACGAATAAAATTGTGAAGCAATGATGGACATCAGTGAAGGTGATACACTTTTAATTTTAATTGCTACTTTTATTGAGCTGACAGCAGACAGTTTCATGTGTTTACATATAAAATGGTGCACTGAAAAGCAATGCCCATTTTTTTATGAAACAAAACCAAACTAAAATGCACTCATCATTTACACTTTCCCACACTTTTGTATTAAGTTTAAAAGAATCTCTTACTTACAGCCATGAAAAGCCATGCAAGATGATGTCAGTTAAGAACAAATGGCATTCCGTGACTGAGCTTCTGATTGTGACTGAATTCATTGGCAACCATCACTACCAGCAATTCCTGTCAAATTCAAGGCAATGGTGAAGATGCGGTTTCATCAAGAAGATACAAGGTTATGTCATAACAGACTTGTAATACGCCTTGAATATTATCAGAGGTGTTTGGCCTGCTGAGGCAATTATGTTGAGAAATAATAATGTAAAATTATAGAATAAAATTCAAGTAAAATATAAAATTTTGTTTCAGTGAAATATCTATTCCCATTACAAAAAGAAAATTTCTGGTACACACATAAATACTATGCTACCCACCAAACTACAATAAAATTACACAATGAAAAAGTATAAACCATTCAATTCCTTGAAGCAAATGCTGGGATAGTACCTTAAAATATGCTACACCCATTTCCTTCTTAATTCATCATGCCATTCATACACAGGAGTTCGCCTCCTGGTGAACTAACTACAGTCTGTAGTAATAATGAGTAAAAAATGTGACACAAAGCTACTTATTGATGGCGCTCGAGAAGTTAGATTTTGGGTATGTTTGTAATGTAAGGAAACACTCGAAACAGACCCTTAAAACATATATTACTAATATATACACTGTATACATACCAAGACACCTTGCAGTATAAACTTACAAAATCACTTACATAATACCCTCTTTTACATATGTACATGATATAGCAGTAACTTACAATAAAATACATCACATACGAAATTTGAACTGTACATACACTTTATATTCATTGCCTGAAATATCTTTGAGGGTATGTCATTCCTTGGGCAGCCAACCTCAAAGGAGAAAAGTTCCGTGAGGTCTCAGCATGGTGATTTTGATTCCCATACTTTATGTTGAAAATAGAATTTAGTAATTTCCTCATGATGATGTAATGATGCACTCTCAAAGATGTTTCAGTCACAGTACATCAGACCACAACAACAGCACTCTACCAGCCAATTCATCGACTGACATCAGCTGTGGAATATAATACCAAAATAATATTGTGGTCTTTTGGGTTATGACACTATGCAGTCTGGTATGTTGAGGCTAGCAGTATGTCACTACTGTGGCAAACATTATATTTTGGCTATGGACGTCTCATATGTGGGAGTGCAGGGTAGCATAGTTGGTGGAGGCACTATGCTACTAGCTGGAAGGTCATTGGATTTTTCTGTTTACCTGTTCCTTCCAGCCGCACTATGTCCCTGGAGTCGACTCAGCCTCTAACAGAAATGAGTACCAGGAATCTTGCCGAGGGTAAAGGCCAGCCGGCGCATAAGGCTGACAACCTCACCACCATCTGTGAGCTGATTGTACAGAAAATGTGGGAGCCTTGACATCTCACAACCCTACAGACCTCCATGGCCTGTTACAGGGTTACCTTTACCTTTACCTTTTTGACATTTCATATGCACAGTTTGCATCTCTACCCCTATCTTTATATGAATCAATCAATTACGGAGGAAATTTTGATATAAATTTCACACAGCTCAGAGTCCTTTGAAAACAAATTTGTTATTTCAAAGGAGCAAACAATAATAAATATACGGGTATCACAAATAGACCTTGAAAGCACACATCATTCAGATCTGTGGGTCCCATGGACATGAACATTAAGATTATGGTCTCTGAATTGTGACACCATGTAGCTGGGTAGCCATCCCATGTGGTATGACATCCTAGAAGACTGTAATCCTTACAGACAACATCATTTGTCACAGTAGCCACAAACATTTGGGGGTGGGGGGCACAGAAACCATCATCAAGTTGCAATTTAAAAAAAATTAGTATTGAAATTTCAAGACTGTATAGCCCTCTAAACTATGAGTACATTACCTCCCCAAATCATATATGATGAGAAAGCTCTTAGCAGAGTGAGGGCACATATTATCAGCATTCAAATGGTTTATTTCTTAACAGATCTGATACACAAGTAATAGGAAATAAAATGGGAAATGACACATGATTAAGAAGCATGCAGATATGGACATCTTAAGATATACCCATTACTTGACCTGCCAAATAAAAACAGGACAGCTAAACAGTACATTATGTGCACAGTGGTGCTTATGAAAGTGCTTCTTCCCTGTCATATCAATTCCTAAAAATAGGCAGAAGTAAGATTTTAAACTGGATGGTAGAGTGCTAGTGATCTGAGACAAATATTTGGCTTTGTGAGATCAATACGAATGTAACATGATGCATGGATTATCATAATTACACTTTGGACAGTCACAACTTACACTGAGGCCACAGAATGGAATCTGTACCAACATTTGTGTGAACAGAAAGGGCAGATGATTACAGGGGTACATGGGGAACCATGCAGGAGGAAGGAGTGGGAGAAACAGAGTCTACTGATCCGTGGGATGTCTTAACCGTGACTCAAAATGTAATACAAAACCAGATGTATGTTGACAAATGTACACGTACAATACAAAGTAGGACAAACCAGAACTCGACCCCTTACTGGAAGGAAACAGGTGAGTGATTCAAAGTCAGGGCAAGTGTGACACGGTCTGCACAAGATGGCGGGTCTTCTGATATGTGATACCATCTACAGTAGTCTGCTAGACAGGTACCAATATTTTAGAGGAACCTGCTGCCATCCTCAAGATGGAGAGCAGCTTCCTATGAAATATTGTTACCCATCTAAAAAATTAAAGAGCATCACATCCCAGGACTCTGTTATCTTGATACCACCATGAGAACCTTACATTATTTATGCATCACCTGAGCTAATTTCAAGCTGCATTTCAGGTAATCGCATATTCCTTTATATCATTGATCTACATAAAGAATGAAGTAAAAGTTAAAAACCACAAGGTATGATCAATGTGGCAAATGAACTCTTCACCCGTTGTAACACTGCAAATACCTAACTAGTGGACGGACTACGATAAATTTCCCAACAAAATCTTAATCCTCTTAACTCATGTGGTGGTCTTCTGGGTTTATAACATCATGTTGTACTCTTGCAGGAGATTACAAACCTTCTGGAGGAATATTCTGCTTCCACCTTCAGGGCTGAAGACAGCCAAATTGGTAAAGTGTCAGATTACAGAGAAATGATGTGAAAAAAGGACCACAGATGATAGGAGAAGACACTGGAGATCAGATGAAGTGGTGGAACACAGAAAAACCAGTGAGAACTGTATGTCCTGAAAAGGGTAACAATTCCGAGGTAGAGGAAAGGAAATGAGCGAGTGGCTCCTTTGATTCAAATATAGATATCCCATGAAGTTCTCTCCCCTTAAAGGTTGCTTTCTGAACTTGGTTCACTTTAACCCTGAAGACCAATATATATGAGGGTAAGTCAATAAGTAAGTTACAAATGGATATAGAACTTAAACAAATAAGAGTACTGATTTGAAAAATGCTTTTATTTCTCAACATAATCTCCCTGTACACTGAGGCACTTGTACCATTGTTTCACAAACCCCCAAAAACCCGCAGAATAAAATTCTTTGGTCTGCTGTCGGAACCAGGCATGTTCACACGGCATGGCCTACCTCATAATGCATGACAGGTTAGGTTTTCACAAAGTCTGTGCACGATGGGTGCCATGCATGCTGACCGCACAACATAAAATGCAAAGAATGGGTCTGGCATTACAGCATCTTCAATCGCTACCATGATGAAGGACACAATATGCTAGCCTGAATTGTCACAGGTGACGAGTCTTGGGTTCACCATTACCAGACCAAGACAATGCATGCGTCAATGCAGTGGAAATATCCTGCGTCGTCTGCCAAGAAAAGTTTAAGGTGACACCATCCTCCAGGAAAGTGATGCTCACAGTCTTCTGGGATCACGAAGGCATACTGCTCACCACATTCCAGCCTCAAGGACAAACCGTACATGCCGACTCCTACTGTAACATCCTCAGGAAACTTCGTAAGGCCATTCAACGGAAGCATGCAACCTGTCATGCATTATGAGGTAGGCCATGCCATGTGAACATGCCTGGTTCCGACAGGAGCCCAAAGAATTTTATGCTGCTGGTTTTCAGGGGCTTGTGAAACGATGGGACAAGTGCCTCAGTGTACAAGGAGATTATGTTGAGAAATAAAATCATTTTCAAATCAGTACTCTTATTTGTTTAAGTTCTATATTCATTTGTAACTTACTTATTGACTTACCTACGTATATACAGTGCCATAATAACCTCAAATTTTACATCACTTCTCTAAACTGATTTATCAGACAACAGACCATGGAAAATTAATTTGGTTAATGCTGAATCTACTGACAGCACTGCTTTTGAATGCTTAAGGTTGCACTTATCTTTTGTGAGAAAACTGATCCAAGCTCAAAATGTGGGATGTCTGGCTTGCCAAGGAGCAAAGATGCTACATGCATTACATTACATCACTTTCTCATAACATATACAATGTAAATAAATATTTAATTACCAACAGTCCTGTCAACTTTCGTTTCTTGCACAAAGAAATTTAGTCTTCTCTTCTGTGCTGTTCTTGAGAACTGCCCTGCATTATAACTGCGTTGGTTGGGCAGATCTCAGAACAGGAAGCGGATGAGATGAAAAGTTCTGCCACACGAGCTCAGGTCAGTAACAACATTCTAAAGTGACTAGTTCAAAACAGTTATCCAACTGTCAATGACTGACTGACTGAACAAGATATAAAAATAAATGTATCTATCACAACCAGAAGTACCCATTCTTTATCTGTGACATGGTTGCCTTCCTTGTCAAGTTCACAACGGAAAGAAGCTAAGACTTTAAAGAAAGAATATCACTGATATTCAGTACACAAAGTAAATTACTGAAATTTAAAAAGAGAGATCTGCAATGAGGACATGAACTGTATCCAAAAACTGTTCTTGAGCACAGCTTAAACAGACTGGCCAGAGTACGGAGTATGTTACATAACATCTTTGGGTGTTCTCAGTTACATCTGCAGTATGACAGTGACATGAAAGTTACTATTTCATATACAGTTGAACAATATTATCCTACACTTTGATTGATCTTAACAAAGTTCTTATGGCATGCAACAGAACAAATGTGAATGGATCCTACTAAAATCTCTCATATCCAGCCATAGGTCCAGTAAGTTAAAATATGTAAAATGTACTACACCCCCAAAATTATCAGTTTCTCACACTTTGGTGCCCATACCAGAATTAACACAACTTTTCCACTTTACAATGCACAATTAAAACTGCAGAAGTTAAAATCTGTTCAACAGAAAATTCGATTTAAAATAGCCTTCTCTACAACTGAGATTTTCTACCATGACTGTGTAGCCTGGTATATATATGAGACAAACTCCGTCTTAGGTGCAACAATTTAATTGTAGTTCTTTCTTCTTCCCTTCCTCTACACTATATGTTTCGGCCCTAAATGGCCATATATATTGCAGCCTGGTATACGGTTACAAACATTCCCGAGGAACCACCCTGTGAAGATGGAAGTGGTATGTTCCTCTTGGTAACCATCTACCAGAGCACACAGCAGCATGTCCCACAAGATCACAGTCCTATAACTACCACTGTAAAAACCTCATATCTCATACCCTTCCCAGTTTCCTAAAACATCTACCAACTCACTTCAGACCATTACAACAGCAGTGAGGAAGACACTCAGGGTTCTGAAGGTCGCTATTGGGTTCATCACACCAAAATATTTTATGGTGTCACAGTGTTCTTACTTTCAGCATTCCTTGATATTACCATAATAGACTGTTGCATACCTTTCTAAATATCCATACATTAAACAGGGCCATTGTTATTACCACCTCAGGGATGTGCATGACCACCATGTTGGTACTACCCATGACAGGTCATTTGGCTCAGTACTATTTGTATGAAATTTCATGATGATTATTGAATGAGAGTCTATAATTTTCACGGTATAACTGAATCAAGAACTGATACACCCAAAGCTCTTCAATGTCACTGAGTAAAATACTGTGTTAGGTGCGGTCCTGCTTTCATCTCTTGTTGCGTTTATGTTTACATATACTTCTGCTGGGCGAACTGTTCCCATCACTATCACTGCCGCAAACCCCAGTTCCACTGACGAAGCGTTTACGTTTATCCCTGCAAACAGAGCAGCAATAATCATCCTTACTAGACTGAACTTCTTGCAGTCAGTAGTCCACTCAACAGAACGGAAATTCTGAAGAATTTTCAAAAGGCATTACATTAATACTTACACAATGGACAGAATCATACAATCTATCATCATTCTTGGTGACACTTAAAGTATAAATGTGGTTTATAGACAACAAGGTTGGCAAGGTGAGAAGGGTAAGGCAACAGGCAGAAGTTCTTGCAAATCAATCCTGAGGACAAGGGAACTGATGCTGCCTTCGAAAGGAGAGCAGGAGACAGGCCCTGGGAACGAACAACAGAGCAAAAAATCAAGGAACACATACAGTAGATTTCCATTTAACTGAGGCTTTGTTTAGAAAGCTGACTACATGCAACAATAGTAAGACACAGCTTTGCCAGACAAAATTATGCCTGAAAACTAGTTGACTGTTATACACAGGAAGTCCAATCAAGGGACCAAACAAACTTCGTTTTTATTCCTCCAGGATTATAACTATAACTGTACCTATACTACTGTAGTACTAATATAAATGTAAACATTGTAAATGTAAATCCTAACTCATGAGTTAGTTCCATATTCCTTTTACTGATTATTTGGGTAAATTCATTTCACATCCAACCCCAATAATCATGAGTCTCTGCATCCAGCTGTGACCCAACGGAATTTTGTTTTGACCACCACATATTAATTACAGTCACATGACATAATTTTATTACTTTATACTCTGTAGCTTATCTAATGATGTCTGCAACTGAACATCATGTACCATGAAATGACTGAATAACAGCAACTAATGAGTTAAAATGGAAGCAGCCTCATTTGAGGTACTACCCCATATTTGTCTGGAGGACTCTGGAAAACTGTAAGACATTAGAGTCAGTGGTGATCTGACTAAGACTCAAACTTGGCACCTCTCAAATATGAGCCAGAAGCATTAGCGCTGAAGCCAACTTTCTCATAGCTTTATATCAGCCATGCTCATTCAGCATGCCCTACACCCTAGCAGTTGCTAACTTCTCTGGCACGAAAACACAGCTGTCAATTCAAAAGTATGTGAAGTTCAGAGAAAGTAATTTGTATGAGAGATACTGAAGTAAGGAAAGCTGAACAGCCTAGAGGTAAAGGGGGTCAGAGGAATCTCCTACTAAATGTTACCAACAAATGAAGCTCTAGTGATTAGATCACAATCTCCAACCCTACCACTGGCTGGTGGACACACACCTGCAGCTAAGGCATATTCTGAATATTTCTCTTCTGTGGGACGTGTATTCCCACTGCTTGCAGCTCTAGTTTCTTCTGCTAAATCTGTACCCTTGTTTTACTATTTCTTCTTCCTCTGAAATGCTGGGCACAGGGTGCCTCTCTACCAGACAACATGGCACTGCACCCCAGAGGACAATGATCTTCATGTTCACAGAGGCAAGATCATGAAACCTCACAAAAAAAATTCTGTTCCAATAATCATAATGTGTCAACTGACTCCAGTGCTTGGAAAAACATGGATACAACTGAGAATCTGCGTATCTCACACTTGCCATGTACATTTCTTTTGGCTTGGCACACCAAGCGAGAAGATATTTAGCAACAACTCACCCCTGTGACGGTGCCTCATAGTCTTCAAGGGCTTTGTGGTGTCTTACAGGTGAGAGCAGCGTCATTTCCATACAGTCCATGGTTAGGTCTCCAGGTGCTGACTGTGAGATTTCAATGTTGTATGTGTTTGCCTACGCATATAAAAATGGGGTATTACAGGTTTCAGGCTTTCACACTTACCTGACTGACTGCTTGAGAAAGGTCACATGCCTAGTTTCTTCTTCTACAATTCTGAAGCACAGGCAGGTGTGAATATTCAATATTAATATACATAAGGTACCCTGGACTGATTTAAATTAATGGCTGAAAATGGAAGGGGACATACTTCTGTATTGTGGCATATAGACCTGTTTCTAAGCAACAGCTTGGGAAACACTTTCCCATGAAAACAATATCCAGTCTATTGCGAGACAACTGCCCATGAATATAACAGCAGGATTGTTGGAGGTGGTGCTTTCTGTTGGGTCCTCCCTGAGGTTATGTAACGACGTCAACCGAGCTGCAGCTCAGCTGAGTGCAGTGACAGAGTGACAGACATGAAGTAGCTGGTTGGTGAGTTCAGTTGTCAGTTGAAAGTCAGCCTGTGAAGAGAAGACTAGGAGGTTGCTGTGAAATGGCTGGCAGCCTGGGACCCAGTTACCTGGGTTGTCATTCAACAAGAGTTCTGCATGGGAGGCTGTAGACATTAGTCTGTGTGTGTGTGTGTGTCAGGGATCTGTAGAATGTAGTTCTGAGCAGTGTATACAAGTGGTCAATGAATCCATCACCAATCCATACCCCATCTATAGTCACCCCTAAAACTGTGACAATATAAAATCCTACTATCTACTGTTCCTGTAGATAAACTACAGACATCAAAGGATGTAAACAGAAACAAATAACAGATCATAACGTGGATGCAAATTCATGGAGTTGGTAGTGGCCAGCTTTGACTAAGAACTGGAACTACTATGCAATGCATTTCAGTCAACACTTGCCCTTTTCTTGTGAACAGCCTACACCACTAGACATGTCTGTTAGGTGGTTCATATGATCATGGAATTAGCATTAGTTAGGGATTAAAAATAGCATAAATTATCATGAGCATTTATTATGGCTTACTCACAAGCTGAAGGGCGGCTAAAAAGTAACGTGGGACGTCCACTGTTGGTTTGTTTGCAGCAAACTGCTCAAATTGTAATGTGACTTTTGCAGAGCTTTGAGGGAATGAACACAGTATTCCTGTTCCGACCTCATGAATGTCAAAATGACCTCTGTCACGTGCAACTTTCAACTTGGGGCGAATGTAGTGTTCCCATTCAGCCACTCGTCTGGCAATGTCAGCTTCCATATGCTCCTGAAACCACAAAATAATAAATCTGACTTATGGACCACAAATTACAGAATGTGTGAAATGTCTTGAGTGGGATATGGAATTCTGTTATTGTATATATTCATGAAAAACTGTCATAACAATGAACTGAAGTGGTCTGCAGAATGGGTATTTTTATGAATTTTATAAATTATCCTTATATTGACATTATACTTTATAATCCTCTCCCTCCGGGTTCAACAGGTGAAAATGAAATGTATGAATCGATCCTTTCGATGAAATGAAACTACTAAAACCAAAATTAAAATGAGTAAACTAAATACCATATTTTCTCAAATACTATGCCCTTCAAATAAGCTGAGCACTCCAATTATTAAGGTGGGGAGAATAAATAAATAAACATTTTAAAAAATGTTCCAGTATTAAATATTGAATGTACATGGGGTGGGCCTTCTTGGCCCTTGCACCGTGACCACAGTGATCTATTGTGCCTAAGTTATTAAATATTAACCACCCATCATACATTCACAGTTGCCAGCATCCTGCAATATGAACAGGATGCATTATTTGTGTATGTGGTACTTCATCTTTATTTTATTGTGACTTTGTCATATAAAACTTGCTAATTTTAAACAATACCTAATACACTTTATTCTCCACTGCTTTTGTCATCATCATCATCAGCAGCAGAGCTCAGGCGATTGTCATCACTGTACTTTTCAATCACCTTCTGACCTTCAAGGCTATTTTAGATGCCGCACTTTTTGAAACTCTTTTCCACAAATCTGGGTGAAATATGTTCCCACGTGTCCTTTATCCTTTAATTTTAATTTTTCTCTCACTGTGAAAGATCGTCATTGCATACCTTGTGTAGTCATTTTTTTCACACAAAATCACAACATAAAACTGACTGTTACTCATGAATAAACCGAGATGAACTGTATCCTTGCCAGTACTGGGTAACATGCGAGAGTATGAAAGCTAACACAGGAGTGCTGTTAACTTTCATCTGAATAAGCTATGTATCCCACTTTTTTTTCTGAAAATTATGCCCAGGGTGTTCGAGAAAATGCGGCATTACTTGGCTAGGGATTACCTACATGGCTTGTATCTGCAATGCTGTCTGTCTGACTGAACACATTATCTTCAAAGGGAACGTCTTCGTTCTCTGGTGATTCAGCCATCGGCAATGGGACAACAATGTTCCTTTCAGGGTCTGCAGCAGCATTCCCACTGTCCACATCCTCTTCTGCTTCTTCGTCCTCATCAGGAAAGCCATGAAACCCTGACATGAAAACAAAACCAAATCACAATTTCTGAACTGAACTGAAACACAGTTTATCAGACAGACAAAGTGACATAATAGATACTGATTTCCAAATGTTCTGCAGAAATAAATTAAAAGTTTCCTAGATAATCAAATCCATTCCAAAAGAAAACTTGAACTGAATATGAAATCTGCAGAGATATCCATAATTTCTCAACATAACACATTTCACATCCCTAGACATTAAGTTCATTATTTACTGTTAAAATGTCTCAATCAAACTGACATTTCGCAGGGTTGCAATTCTTTGTCTTGTAAAACACTCATTGGTATTGTTAACTGGACATCTCCGCTTCGAAACATAGCTGAGGGCTCTACATTAATGGAATGTTAATTTCAGGAACAACAATAATTTTATATGAACGAATACACAACAATTTAGTTGCTTTCCATGTGCTGCCTACAGAAACACCATTTTGTTGTGCTAATTGCCACAAAGATTTTGTATGATAATATTCTAATCAATGACCAATGTCGTTTTACCTTTTCACAGCTTTTTGTCAATTAAAATACTGTGGGTTTGAACTTTCTTCATTAATTTGGAAACTGTATCTCCAGCATGATTTGTGTGAGTTCTTTTTTCCCACACAACCTTTTATTATTATTATTATTGGAGGGGGTTGGTTTCCCCATGCACCGTGACTAATGGTCTATTGTACGTCCCCCTTTGATATTCTACCCGTCGCCATACCCTACCGGTACTGGTGCATGCTATCAGCCCCATTCAGCCCTCAGTACGCGATGCTTCCCCCATCTACCAGAGGCACTGGAAACTACTTGGGCGGGAAACGTGCCTAATTTTGATCAGAGGTCTCCTAGAGACATGAGGATCTTCTACGTGCCATAAATCTAAGACACGGGACCCACGGCTTAAAGTCCCTCCAGGAGGACTTGTTCCCTGAAATTTTCCACTCTTAAAAATTCCATGACCTCCACCGGGTTTGAACCTGCATACCTTGAGTCATGAGGTGGGAACGTTACCCCTAGACTACGGAGGCCACTCACAACAACCTTAAATGAAAATGCTTTGTTCTAAACTGTATCTCACATGAGCCATACAGACAAAGAACACGTAACACTGACTCACTGATCAGGGGAGTACCACATGAATGACCTTCAGTTTGCCAGTGCTCTGACAGTGTGTGCCGAGACCACGTACTGAGAAATTCTGTGGACGTCTGATAAGCCTGCACAATGAACACGGTTCATATAGCATAGTATTCTGGTTATAATGTCACATATTAATGGAAGGAGAATTGATGTTTCTGAGGAGCCCACAGCCTCCATTCTCAGGGTATAAATAACGAGAATGGAGGCAGAGGTGTCCGCATGTGAGTGTGCGTGCAACAGAGAGAGAGAGAGGAGAGGGAGAGATTTACAAAGTTGTGAATTACTAATCCAAAGAGCCGGTTAGCCTGTTTATGAATATTTTTCAGGGCTTGAGCATCCTCACTAGACTGGATCTTGTGTCTGTGTTTTGTCAAGAGCAGCTGAGATATCTGAGTACAGAAGGAAAACCCAGAGAAAGTATGATACAAAATTATGAAAAAGACCCATGGAATGGTCCTGAACAAGATGGTTCAGCCAGGTACTGGGAGATATCAAGGACGGAGGTGGGCACTAAGGGGCAAGAAACTGAAAAGAAATGACTGTTGGTAGATAAAAGAGACTTGAGACCTTTAGTGCACTGACTCATATAAAATGGAAATAATGCTGCACAAAGATGATACATTATAACTGGACTGTAATTCAAATTCTCAGTTTTTATAGCATGTGTCACATTTGTTTCTCCACCGCCTTATAGACATGCAGAAACATGTTTGTACTTTGCACAGACAACTGTTGTTATGTGATCATTCCATCATGTCATTTATTACCTTCTTCCTCCCCAAGTTCATGCTCATAATCTTCAAAACCCAGGAAGTCTGAAACACAAAAGCAAAACTTAGACAAACGACAACAGATGGATAATTTTATAGCTGATGATTCCACAGTGACAGTAAATTCTATAACCTTCTCAGTTAAAAGGTGCAGCATACTGACTCTATGGCCACAGGTTATACAAGTACCACATGGCATGTAAAGGAGAGACTTCTGTGTTCATACCGAAAAGCAGAAAGTGTTTGCAAATCAAAAAGGCATGTCTGTGCCATGTCTTAACACATAAGAGAGCTTTAAATAACAGGAAACCAGCCTTAAGCATAAAGTGAATTACTGTGTGACAGAGCTACCACAACCAGCCTCAACAGCTAAAATGGTTTAGTGACATGGGAAGAATTAAATCAGATCTTTAATCATTTAAGAGCAAAAATTAAAAATTACCTTCATCACACTCCCTTGACAAGCGACGATACAGTTCTTCTTGATCTAATGCAAGGAAAAGATGTTTATATTAATATGATAACATAAAGTAACACAGATAATACAGAAAATCATTAATCCATTACTTTTTTTTATTGCTAGTGGGGTGGGACTAAGAATGAAGATTAGCAGGTGAAACTGAAGTACTCAGAGAAAACCTGCCCCAATGCCACTTTGTCCACCACAAATCCCACTCGCCCAGACTGGGGATCGAACCCAGGCCGCCACGGTGGGAAGCCGGCGACTAACCGCTTGAGCTATGGCATGGCCAATCCATTACTTAGGGTCATGAATGAAATCATTTTTATGTTGTCTGACATAACTAAAGCTGATCACAGTGGCTGCATGGTCCATGGCAAGAAATGTCTTCGACCACTCAAACACTGGGATCATGGGTTCGAATCCCACTTGAGGCATGGATGTCTGTCTGTTAGATAGCAGCCTTGTGACTGGCTGATCCCCCATCCAGGAAGTCCTACCGGCTGTGTACAGAGTAAGAAACTGAAAGAGCAGCCACGGTCCACAAGGGCTGTACAGTCACAGACAGACAGATCAAAATAACTAAAAGTAATTAGCTAATTGCAGGAGTGAAGGTGAAACTGAGCCCCTTTGGGGTGTGACCTGAATCCCATGTGAACTATCCCTGAACTGATGCCAGAATTTAACAGCGAGAAGCTGATGAACAAATTCTATGGGACACCAAAACTAAACGTAACAACAGCATAACTTCATGAGTGATGAATCTAATCTGCCGACTTACAAGAAAGTTACCCTGCCTATGATCAGAGAGACTTATCTACAGAGCTGCTGCATTACAAACTCACCTTTATAAATACTACAGAGTTTTGGTTGATCTCGCATTAGCAACTTCTTTTGTTTCATGAGTCGATGACAAAACTTCTTGAAGTCGGGATACAACGGGAAGCAGGAGTGATCCACGTATGTGCATAGCATTTTTGTACCATGGTATTCCACCATCAATTGCACTTTCTCTTCGTGGCCAGGCTTGCGTTTTTTCTGCAAAGAATCATTATCCATTGACTACAATACAAAGGTTCACAGGAGGTCACAATCAGGAGTGCGCTATTTGTGGATTGTTACCTCATCTGGTTTCAGCATCTTGAGGTCACTGGGAAGCTTGAAGGTCTGCCTCCTCTTAAAAGGTCTGTCTTGCATGCCCTCTTCAAATGGAACAGGCTCCCATGGGTCACTTGGCACTGTCACAAGATGTTCCTTCTCCCTTCGTCTGAAATATTCAGATACATCATCAAGTAATTACACTTGTAACACAGTGACCATCTATATTTCATTGATTCATTACACCATAATTATGTCTGCTATTGTCCGCTGCCTGAGGTGTACATGATATCTTGACAATTTAAGAACAGAAGGTACAGGTATTCCAAAGGGTTTGGGTTCAACACCAGCTATCATCACCAATACTAAACATCTTCTCCTGTTCTTCCTCTAACACTGTTTCCATTTTTTTAAGACAAATGGATGAAGAGTTTTCAGTTTCTTTTATCTGTCCTCATCTTTCATTTCTGCTCTTTCCTTTTTCTCTTGATGTCTTCCAGTACCAGGCTAAGCCTCCTAGATCTGGATGTCCCATAAGTCTCTTTCCTTTAAATTCTAATTCTAAAGCCCTTCTGGGCATCCTTACTCTATCAATCATTTTCATAATGCAAAACCATTGTAATCATTTCTCTTCTAATTCTATCAACAAATTTTTAAATCCACTTCTTTAAAAACTTCATTTTTGATTCTATCCTTTCTTGTCTTCCCCTCAAAATGCTTTTAAAAATAATTTCCTTTTCATGTCCATTGCTTGGAATCTTTTTCTTTCTACTTGTAAAGATCAATTTTGCATTTGTACACATCAGGACCAGTTTAGGATTGAGACTGTTATTTTGGGACCTCTGTGTTCCATAACATTCACTTCATAGTTTGATAAGATTTAGGACTACTCTGTGCTCTCCTACTGATATCTTCATAAGAGAAATAAACATATCTGTGAGTACACTGACAACCAGCCACCTGAGGACAGCAGCAGAAACAAATCTGAAACAGCACAAGAGGGAATGGACGGCAAACAAATTTTGGCAGACATGCTACTGGAGACCACTCCATCATGGAAGGTGCCCAACTCCCTGTTATGAACACTACAGACATAGTGGCCAACAGCACAGTCATTCAATGTAGAATCTTGCAGTGTCACATGATCTGAACACCAATCTTTCTTATAGTGAGTTTCTTCAATAACTGAGAATAAAGAAGTATCAATGAATGTATGTGTGTGTTCGTGGTGTCAAAAGGTTTTTTTTTTTTTTTTACTTACTGGGGGTAGGCAGATTGGCCACTGATTGGCCTATTGCACCTGTCCTGGGTGATTATGATGATGGAGAATTTGGTGGAATGAAGATTGGCAGGGCAAACCAAAGTACTCGGAGAAAACCTGCCCCAGCGCCACTTTGTTCACCACAAATCCCACTTGACCAGACGCAGGATCGAACCTGGGCCTCCACGGTGGGAAGCCAGCAACTAACCGCTTGAGCTATGGCGCGACTTTGTCAAACGGGTTAATAAAATACACAAGTTTTAACAATGTCACACTGGAATATAATTTAAAACAACAGCACAGCAACTACAGATAAGACTTTTGACAAGTCACTGTGCCCTGACACAGAAAAACATTACTGTATTGGTTTCCCACGTTACGTCAGTGGGTTTACTTTGCAGGGCCTCCAGGTCTGGCTTCTGCCCACCTACAGGAGAGCACAGGATGCATTACTGAGATCAGGACACACAACACGTTCTGTTAACCCGTGACACAGCAACGAGAATAACATTCAGCAAAGGGGACCTATAGTGTAAGGTGGACTCTGAACCACAGGGAGAGGGTCTTGTATTGTTCACATTCCCAAAGTTTCTTTAAGGGAGAGGTAAAGAAGTTGTCCGTGCTTAATTAATTAAGCACTATGCCATGAACATGTATGGAGGAGTGGAGGTATAGCTCCATCATTCTTGACCTCAGCACTAGATGGAGGTAAGTGGTCAGCTTAATGCCACGGCCACTTTATTGCCAAGGAAATCGCCCCCCCCTCCCAGTACCCACAGGATATGAAGCTGGGTGGGCCCCAGAGCTGTGCTGGATGATGTGGAGAAGTCTTCTGCCCCTGCCAGGAATTCAACCCTGACCACCCAGCCCATAGCTCGTCACTATACTGACTGTGCCATTCCAGTTCTTACTCTGATACCACTGGTATGACCATCTTAAGGACTGTGTTCCATACTGTCAGTCAGTTATGCACCCATCCATCCATCCTTGCAGGTACAACTTTACAGTAATAATATATTATTGTATATACTGTGGTAATGAACAATATTTCTGTGTCCCAACATACACGTGCAGGCACGCACATACAAATCGAACCTACGTTCCCACACACCATACACCTAAATACTCGTAACATGGTACCACATTACAATCAATCAGATACAAGTACGACTGTTAAAATAAATGAAGTCAGGGCCATGCTGCTTTGAATGGTCTTTATATAAAGACTCAGCAGTACTACTCAGTTCCTATAAAAGCTACTCAGGGCACACATCTGCACATGCAAACCAAGGAATAAACAAAAGCAAAGAACACTACCTTCTCGGATGCAATGCCATGGAGTGTGACACAAGTTTACTGACATTCAGAGGAATGTACGCCCTGCGTCTTCAGAGTTTGAAGAACAAGCCAAGCAAGCAATCAGCACGCAGTTCTATTTTCTCTTCAATCCTCACGATGGATCCAAGAAATATCAGCAAACTTGCATCAGGCTACAGCCTCACATCCTAGAGGATAGTATTTTCCATATCACCATATCACCAATCACCTTCTTGCTGACAGCCCGGCTGCACAAACTTCTTTTTCTGACTCAGCATCAGACATTGATCTCTTGATACCTTCATGTGTCTTAGCATCAGATGCTGATCTTTCTATTGGTTCTGGAGAAGGGGGCGGAGTTACTGGCAAGGATGAGAGTGTCGGATGTTCTGCTGGTGCAGTGGGTGCATGTGCAGATGGGGCTGCTGCTGTGGGGAGACACTCAGGAGTCAGCCCTGTTTCTTCAGCAAATTCAACATCACCATCTTCATCTGCACTACACCCTGCTGTACTGTGCCCGAGTTCATGTATCAGCAGCTCCAGGACATGAATCAGCTCGTCTAAATTCTCCCTTGAGGTGGGATCGGCTACAACAAAGAGAATTGTTCAACAGAAAACAGACATGCTGACAAATGTTTATCATTATACCACAGAATTAAAAATATAGAAAACAACAAATAAAAAGTTTATATTAAAAAGTACTGTAATACCCTTTAAAAAGCATTACAAATTAACAGGAGGGGATTCACAAACATACAGGCAGCATGGTGATCACATAAGCATAGTTTAGGAAAGTAGGCTAATAAAAGGAAATAGCTCTACTTAATTTTTACAGAGGTCCATGTAGTCTGTGAGCACAATCATACATAAATACACACCTCAGCTTTTATAATTACATATGCCAGTATTATCCAATGATGTGTCAAGGCTGACATACAACGAACATGGGAGGACGTAATGTAACAATTTTATTACAATGTGGTTCACATCTACCATCCAGTTCGTTTGCATGCTCAGCAGGGGAACATACATACATTCATTCATTCATTCCATGGATCCTTACATCGCTGGAAGACCAGTGGATATAGAAACATTCCACAACAACAAGATAAGTAACATCAATTACATAAATACAAATTAATTATACTTATTCCACATGTTATCCAAGACAAATCACAATGAGTAAATCATTAAACAGTTATAAAATATATGTGTAAAAGCATGCAACATACTAACATAAAACAAGACTACAATAATCAAAGATAAAAATATACTACTAGCCGCCCGGTATGTACTAGTAGACCAAGATCATTAATTAATATTGAAATTAAAATATTCTTCTAGTGAGTAAAATGAATTTAAAAGTAGAAATCTTTTTGATTTGTTTCATTCTGGTCCGTCACACTAACAATTACAAATATAAATCACTCCGTCCAATGTGACCTGTAAGTTTTTTACTACATGAAAACTTAACACCCTTACATGTTTCGGTCTCTGTGGACCATCTTCAGAGGGCAAACATCACTACAAATAGGAAACCACCATCACATAAGTTGTTTAGATGTAAAGTACGTACACTTATATGCTACAATACATAGTACACAAAATAGAACATTTCACAAACACAGCAGTTTCCTGGGAATGTAAAGTTTTTTATAAAATTGTATAAAATTTCTTGATGCTAATTAAAATTTTTTTGGATTGTCAATAATTAAAATTCGTAAACCATGCAGGCTCGTGTTCGTCCTCCCATCATCCCTCTTATATGGGGCAGATATTGTGCCACCTGGCTATCTTGATGTGGAGGTTCTTTATATCGTCCAGGGTTTGCTCGTGGCTGCTGTGCTGTTTTTCACTGTTGGTCACATTGGACGGAGTGATTTATATTTGTAGAAATCATTTTAAGGCAAATCTAAACTGTTTCATGTCATGAGCTAAGTTCCTTAAGCCAGAAGGAAGATTATTAAAAATCTTGACTCCAAAAAGTATGTTCCTTTTTGAAACACTGTTAAATTACACATTGGATAACGGAAATTGTTACTGTGTCTTGTGTTGATGCTATGGATCTCAGGGTTGGGTTTAAACTGTTCTTTGTTTTAACCATAAAGAACAAGAGAGAAAATTTGTACTGTGACTGGAGGGGCAAAACTTTCAGTTTCTTAAACAATTTCCTGCAAGGGTCCCCACTTCTAGAATAATAATTCTAATTACCCTTTTCTGTAGCCTAAATATGAACACTATGGGGAGAATTGCCCCAGAAAATTATACCATAAGTCATAACAGGATGAAAATTTGAGAAATAAATCCTTCTTATTGTTTCCTGTGACATACAAGGTTTAACAATATAATTAAACTTCATAACAGTGTTTTGAGAACAAAACCAAAGAAATTCCAACAACTGTTACTTTAACTTACCCTGACTGTAGTCAGTGATAACTTCCTTGAGCATATTCGTCTGTAACTTTCCTTGTCTTGAAGTCTGCAACATCACACTGAAATTGACACAAATATCCGCCACATTAATTCAGTCTAAAATGGCAGACTATTCTATAAGTAACAACAGACTGGAGAATACTTGAAAATGAGGAGCTTTAAAATTGTGACTGTCACTTATTATTGTTAACATGTAAACAAAATGCAAAACATTACCCTACCTACCTACATTAGCATCGCGAGACATAACAGACAACTGAAGTTCTTGGGAAAAGAACCCCAGAGAATTGCATATTTTGTTCTTAAATGCACAAGTCTGAGCAGAAGTTAGTTTCTTTCTCCATTCTTTTCTTCATAAGAAAACAATGAGATCGTGACGCTAACAACATAACCACATAACATACAGTAACCGTGGCAATGGAATGAGTTCACACTACATAATGGTGAGATGCATTTTAATTTTTATTTCTTCCAAGATAATTTAGCCATGTGTTCAAGTAATTTTAAATAATGTAAAGAAATTTTATGCACACAAACTTCCTAACCAAGTTAGGCCATTTTGGTGCAAAAATACAATTTTCTTATGGTCTGCTCCATAAAAATTGCATTCTGAGCATCACTAAAATAACATGTATGTCCAAGAACCTAGAAATGTTAATATAAATAGCCACCACAAACAATAAAAGTTTTTGTAACTGCACAACTGATTTTTTTGCATTATACACCAATATTTTTGCAATCCCAAAGAACAGAGAGATATAGGAACACAGAACTAGATGGAAAAATCAGTTCTCAACATCTGGGCATTATACAGGGCGACTAATGGAGAACTAAACAGATGGAATGCTGGACGGGGGACTAAACTCATTCCATGTAACAGTCTTTCTTGAGAAGATTATAGTCACTCAGCTAAACAAGAAATTTCCAGCCTTTAAGAGAGCACGAAGGTTCATTATCATGTCCACACCACATTTCTTTCAGATCCACTTCAATATTATCCTTCATTCCATACCCAGGTGTGTCAAGTGGTCCATTACTCTGCTGGTTTTCAAAACAAAATTCTGCATGGATTTATTTCCAATCTCTCCTGTGCAGTGAGCCAAGAACTACACACAGCTAAACAGCAAGGGAGGAAACCAGCTGGGAAGTACAGGCAAAAAGGTAAAGCTGTTTTTGTTTGTAATTAGTTAAGCAATATGACATGAAGACATATGGGGCGAGCGAAGCTGTAAGGCCACCCACCTCACACCTCCCAGTACCCACTGGATAGGCTAGGTGGACTCCAGAGTCAAGGTGGATGCTGTGGAAAAGAGAAAAACCTTGCACTGCCAGGAATCAAACTTGGGCCATCCAGCCCCCAGCCCAGAGCTATACTGACTTAGCTATCCTACTCCAGGAGGTTTAGGCACAAACAAAAAATAAAATTAAAATGGCTGTTACAGAAATAGGTTATTGGGGTGTGTTGCAGTTCTATGGAAGGCATTTATAAACATAATGATGGAGATTTGGGTGCTACTTAACAATATATGACATAAACACCATCCTAAGTGCAACAATTTATTGTAGTTCTTATGTCTTACCCTCTTCTACACTACGTTTCGCCCGCAAATGGCCATCATCAGGTGTATACACTTACGTAGCTGTTACACTGCACTTAGTTTAAAATTTAAAACCACGAGTCTTCCAAATTGTTCTTTTCATTGTTACTAACAGGTTTCGATTTATTAGAATCTACTTCGCTGATATCTGTCTGATTTGTGCATTATCTTTGTTACCTACACTCGTCAATTTTGATTATTATGAACTGGCACTTTTAAAATCTTCAGTTCTAATTTAAAAATTCTTTTAAAAATTAAAATTCTCAGGGTTACTCACCCTATGTCTGTAGTGCTGCAGCGGCTACTTCTTGTTTTCAGCACTGTTATTCTGTGTAGGCTCCCTGTGTGCATGCCGCTGCTTATCTTTACTACGTGTCTACACAGCCTACACAGAATAACAGTGCTGAAAACAAGAAGCAGCCGCTGCAGCACTACAGACATAGGGTGAGTAACCCTGAGAATTTTAATTTTTAAAATAATTTTTAAATTAGAACTGAAGATTTTAAAAGCGCCAGTTCATAATAATCAAAATTGACGAGTGTAGGTAACAAAGATAATGCACAAATCAGACAGATATCAGCAAAGTAGATTCTAATAAATCGAAACCTGTTAGTAACAACGAAAAGAACAACTGGGAAGACTCGTGGTTTTAAATTTTAAACTAAGTGCACTGTAACAGCTACGTAAGTGTATACACCTGATGATGGCCGTTTGTGGCTGAAACATGTAGTGTAGAAGAGGGCAAGACATAAGAACTACAATAAATTGTTGCACTTGGGACGGTGTTTATGTCATATATTGTACAGAGTGCAACAGGATGCTTAAATATAATATTGCTACTTAACAAGTCCGAGCTTCTCAAGAAAGACTGGATCATGAAGTTTGTAAGTTACAGAGGACATTTGCAGACAAGTATAAATTCAGGCTACAGTCTCCTGGGATGTCAAGTTTAACCCTGAAGATACAGATAGTATGTTCCTCTGAAATGTTAGTACTCTACCAGAACACATTAGGTCTGAAGTTTTCATAGTAAGGAACATAATTAAATCCTTTTGGGCAGCCAGCCTTGTCAAGAAGAAATGTAGTTCCAGTTCCAATGTTTCAGATATGATGAATACTGATGGTTAAGGAAACATCAGAAATCCATTCCATCTTGACATGGCTGACTCATGGAAGAGACATCATTCCTTCTCCCAGAACACAATCTTCATAATCATCAGTATGTGAATCTCAGATTTTGGATTATAATTAAAATTTCACACCATTCACTGTCGTTCAAGAGTGGGTGCATTGCTCACCTGTAGTCCGATGGCACCACTGTATCCCCATCCACATCAAAAATTTTATAATTGCATTTCCGTCGCTTCCAATCCGATTTTGTCAAAATATGCCACTGGATGGGCAGTGGTTTAATGGGTTCATTTCTTCCTTCTGCTTTCATATCAGGATCTGTGTGCAAGACAATAGCTGTTAAAATGAATCCTCAGCTGAGTCAGGTGAGGATCAGTGTGCCATGCACAAGTAGCAACTCATGTGGACTGCAGTGGAACTTGAAGCATCAGGCCCACTGGCCTGTTCAGTCCCCATTAGAAACTCCTTTTCACAGATCATCCAACGAATCCAAACCTCTCTTTGGGCTAACATTTTTTTTCATCCTTTCCACACATTCCCACCACTCATTTCTGAAGTCTGAAATTTTATTTCTAATATTCCTGGTCTTTCCAGACTGAGATGGATGAAGAGAGATGAAAGTGAAAACATGGAGTCCAAAGGCAAATAATAGGGAATAATGGACATTTCATAAATGATGTGATAATGACTGGCAGGGGAGGACTCAGTAGCCCAAGAAAAACTGACCTAGTGACATTTTGTCCACCATAAATCCTACACAGATTTGGCTAGAAACTGAACTCAGGCAGACGCCAATGTTCTCACTACCTATTCACTAATGTTTAACATAGAGAAATTCTATAATTGGTAAAATCTGTGTATGTTTTTGTTATTATGGGTGTTTATATAACAATAACTTCCCTGGAACATGTATTTCTTGTTTAAGTGGTTACAGTATGTACCACCTGGGATACAATACCACATACTATGGGGTACCCAAAAGAAACTGAACTAATTTTTTTGTGGGCAGAGCTTTTGTAGTACCGCATTTTGCTGCTATGAGCGCATAGAGCTAACATTCCTGAGTCGATAAGCCGACTACCGTTGCTTCAGAAGGTAAGGACTAGTTTCGGCAGAGTTTATAGTGACACCTGTTTTGTGTGATCGTCATTTTTGCAATGGCTGATTTTCGTGAACAGCGTGCGGCGGTGAAATTCCTCTTTTTGCTTGGGAAAAGTGGAACAGAAACTCTTGAAATGTTAAAAACGACGTACAAGGACGATGCTATGGGGAAAACTCAAGTGTTTGAGTGGTTTTCCCATTTCAAAAATGGTGAAATGTCAATTGATGACAAACCTCGTTCTGGTCGTCCTTCCACGGCCCAAACACATGAAAATGTTGAAAAAATTCGTGAAATCATCAAGGAAGATCGACGACGGACCATTGAAGAAATTGTGGAGCTGTCGGGAGTGACTTGGAGCTCAGTGGCCAGATTTGTGGCAGTCGGGTGACTGGTTTTTCCATCATGAGAATGCCCCTGCTCACACAGCCCTGTCTGTATGACAATTCTTGACCAAAAATGGTATGACCCCTGTTCCTCACCCTCCATACTCACCCGACCTTGCCCCGTGCGACTTTTTTTTGTTTCCTCGAATGAAAAGAGACATGAAAGGAAAAAATGACGGAGGCGCTGTCAAGCATCTCAAAAGATGAATTTAGACAATGTTTTGAAAAATGGAATAAAAGACTAGACAAGTGTATTAGTGTAAGTGGAGAGTATTTTGAAGGGGATTGAAGGTTTGTGCTTAAAATTTGAATAAATAAGTTTAAAGAAAATAAGTTCGGTTTCTTTTGGGTACCCCCTCGTATCATGCTGAAAATCAAGCTTGCTATTTCATGTTATTTCCTTATTGACTTCTTCCTTGACCCTAATGATGGAGGGGCCATGTTCCTCCAAAACGGTGGATGATTTTCAACAGACCACAAAGAGTTATATACCAGAAGTCACAACTCTTCATAATCACTGCTGTCAGAACCTCAAAACCTACAAGCATCACTCATTTTATGTTTTAAAAACTCTTCATTTTCCCCACACAGTGCATTTATGTGTTTCATATGACTATCACAGAGCTGGGGTAATGTAGTTGCTATAGCGATTGGTTATGGGCTGGACAACTGAGGGGTCGGAGTTCGAGTCTCGGAAGGGTCAAGAATTTTCTCTTCTCCAAATCGTCCAGACCTGCTCTGGGGTCCACCCTACCTTCTATCCAATAGGTACTGTAGGCTCTATCCTGGGGGTAAAGTGGCCGGGCTGTGAAGCTGACCACTCACCTCCAGCTAGTGCCGAGGTCAAGAAAATATGGATCTATACATCCACTCCCCCATACACCTTCATGGCGTAGTGCTTAATTTTTTGAGCTCACGGACACTGTACCTTTTATATGACTATCAAAATAAACAGTGTTCATTTCCCTAAACAGCACTGACTGACTGACTGACTGACTGACTGGTCTTTATGATAGTCACGTATGTATGTATGTATGTATGTATGTAAGGGGTGGGCAATAAAACCCCCCGCACTGCAACTTTCAATGACCTATTGTGCTTTATGATAGCCATACATTTTGTTTATTGTGAAGCAGGAACTGAATTCCTATTGGCATGTGTTGGTGACTACACATGGAGTTTGGATTGCTAACTGGATTTACTGGACTCTTTATAACGTGTAACTACAAAGAACTACACCACCGTTAATCCATACACTTAACAAATCACTAGAGCACACACTGTCTCACTGTTATAGCCTTCATTAGCCATTGCTCAGTAACTATCTTCACTAGACGTCACCAGGTTACGGTTTCCAACACTGCAGATTCTCCTGCTCTCATGCTTCTGGCTACCATGATCCCTATACAACTTCAGCATAGACCACACAAAAAAAACACCGTTTCCAACAATGCCTCAACTGTTGCTGGTGTGGTGGCGAGCTGTTGCCTAGTAATGGCTCGCTTGTTTATCAAGCTGTTTCCATGCAACGGACAGCATCTAAGTAAACACATCAAACTTTGTTTTATTTCAACAAGCTTCATGCTCCAAAGTGCAGGCACATAAAACACGAATATGTTAACTTACCAATGACATTAGGAACAATCTCTTCAAAGTCTTCAAAAATGGCTTGTTTCTTCCTCCTCCTAGGAACTTCTTCATGATTTTCAGAATTCTCAGCTGTTTCAGACCTTCTTTTACTGTTCTTCGAGCACCTGAGGAAATAATATGTTGGAATAATGCAAGGCATGAACAGATAAGGTTAATCATGATATATTTATTTAGTGTAGCAGTCTCCAAATTAATTATCCTATAAAGTGTTCTTTACAGCAGGGCATTTTGATGAGGTTATGTTAGGTTACCAGTCTGCATATCACCTGAAGAACTCAACAAATTTTTACCAGAGTTTGTACAGGGGTCAGCAATGACATCAGAATTTACATCAATTGCCAAATATTGTGGTCAAGTTGACAGCACTCCTACTTCATATTCTGTAGTTCTTGGGTTCAAATCTCAGTCCAGAGACTGGCTATCCTTACATTGTATTTTCTTGCTCTTCTTTATCCCTCCAAGAAAATGTCAGGATAGTACTGGCTTAGATTACCTATCAACATATGATGAGGCTTTTATGTCTCAACAGTGTCACACCTGTTCCTCCAGATAGGATCCAGAGGACATTACATCAAATCCCACACCTGGCCATCTTGACCATGGCCATTCGGTATTCTTCCTCGTCCTACCTTCTTTCCTGAATGCATATGACAGCTCTACCTCCATATGATATGAGGGTAAGTCAGTAAGTAAGTTACAAATAGATATAGAACTTAAACAAATAAGAGTATTGATTTGAAAAATGCTTTTATTTCTCAACATAATCTCCCTGTACACTGAGGCATCTGTCACATTGTTTCACAATCCCCTGAAAACCAGCAGCATAGAATTCTTTGGGCTGCTGTCAGAACCAGCCAGTGACTTCCCTTTCTACAGCTTCATCATCGAGAAAATGTTCAGCCGAAAGATGATGTTTAACAGGGCCAAACAAATGGAAGTTGCATGATAGGTTAGGTTTTCACAAAGTCTGTGCATGATGGGTACTCTTATTTGTTTAAGTTCTATATCTATTTGTAAATTACTTACTGACTTACCTATGTATATACTGATGCTGGGCACTTAATTTTTATATGGGGGGGCCCCGATAGATTTAGAACTGGCTACAGGCCACAGAGCTTCATGAAAAAATTCTGTCCACAAGAAACTGTTACGTACCCATCACTAATTCACACTGACTTAATACACTTCACAGACATATCAAATGGACTGCAGAATTAACAATTAACCTTTAAGAGTTGGCATTTAAACCCCCCACGACTGCGCTGCTGCCGGAGTTAATCTGACGTTGCCCTTTTAATATTGTAGACTTTCAGAAAAAACTACATATTTTCCGTTCTATGCAGCTTAGAAATACAAACTAAAAACCGCCTGAAAGAGAATGAAATTTCCTACAATATACCTGTGGGAACTGCCCACATTCAAGCAAGTGTGACAAGGCAAGCGTCATTGCTTAGCAACGACAAGTAAACAACGATTGCTAGGCAGAAGCAAGTAAACAGCGGTTGCTAGGGAACTTATAAACACAGTAACCGGCAATAGCAGTACCTATTATGCAACCGTTTTCTATATGTCCGATTCTAGGCTACATGAGAAGATACACTGAGTTACAGTGACAGTCTAGTTCTACCGTTCTACAATACCAGTTCAGTGTTCAAGCAGTTCACTATTGTTATCCGCCTGTGTATACTGTGCAGCTGCAATAAATCCTATAGGACAGTTCAACTAGTGGTTGTCTATTCATTCATACGACATCCCACATACCTATGGCAATTTTTACAAATAAAAATTAACTGTGATTGTTATGTCATGAAATTCAAAATATACTCTCTTTTATATGTGTAATGAAATTCCAAAAGACTTACCCATAATTTTTTCTTCAAACGTGAGACGTCGTTATATCCAAACTACATTGACACTATACACCAAAATGT